AAAAAAAAAAAAAAAAAAAAAAGAATTGTATTCCACTGCCTGGATATATTGCACTTTATGCACTCATCAATTGACAGATATTGGGTTATTTCCACCTTTTGGCTATTATGAAGCATGCTGCTGTGGAGATTTGTGTATAAGTTTTTGGATAGATATATTTTTATTTCTCTTGGGCATGTACCTAAGAGTGAGGTTGCTGGGTCACATGGTAATTTAATGTTTAATTTTTTCAAGGAACCACCAGACTGTTTTCCAAAGTGTCTGAATTCTTTTACATTCCCACCAGCAGTGTATGGGGTTTCCAATTTCTCTACAACCTTGCCAATACTCGTTATCTTAGTTTTGTTTCTAGCCATTCTAGTGGGTACGACGTGGCATTTCATTATAGTTTGAATTTGTATTTCCCTGCTGACTAATGATGTTGAGCATCTTTTCATGGGTTTGTTAGCTATTTGTATGCCTTCTTTGGAGGAATGTTTATTGAGATCCTTTGTCCATTTTTAATTAGGTTATCTATATTTTTATTTTTTATTTTTTGAATGAAAGATTCTTTCAATTCTGTTGTGCTTTACAGTTTTCAAAAGTTTCACACACATGATTTCATATAATCCCATAGTGACCCTTTTCCCCCCTTACCCCTATGTTGCCCTTCCACCTTCCCTCTCCCCACTGGTAACCACTAGCTTATTCTCTATATCTGTGAGTCTCCTTCTTTTTCTCTTTTATTCACTAGTTTGTTGTAGTTTTTAGATTCCACATATAAGTGCTATCATACAGTACTTGTCTTTTTCTGTCTGACTTATTTCACTTAGCATAATGTCCTCCAAGTCCATTCATGTTGCTGCAAATGGCAAAATTTCATTCTTTTTTATTTTTATTATTGAATTGTAAGAGTTTCTTGTATATTCTAGATACAAGCCCCTTATCAGGTATACAGTTTTTCTCCCATTATGTGGGTTGTCTTTTGAAGTACAAAAGGTTGTAATTTTGATGAAATCTGTTTATCTGTTTTTTTTCCTTTTGTTGCTTAAGTTTTTGGTGTCATGCCTAAGAATCCATTGCCAAATCCAGGTCATGAAGATATACCCCTATGATTTCTTCTAAGAGATCTGGCTCTTATATCTCGGTCTTTGACCCATTTGGAGTTAATTTTTATATATGGTATGAAATAAGGGTCTAACTTCATTCTCTTGCATGCGGCTATCCAGTTGTCCCAGCACCATTTATTAAACAAACTATTCCTTCCCAACTGAATGGTCTTGGCACCCTTCTTGCAAATCAGTTAACCATAGATTAATGGGTTCATTTCTGGACTCTCCCTTCTATTTCATTGATCTATATGTCTATCATGCCAGTACTACACTGCCTTGATTACTGTAGCTTTGTAGTAAATTTAAACTTGGCAAGTGTGAGTCCTCCAACTTTATGCATCGTTTTCAAGATTGTTTTGGCTACTTGTTGTCCCTAGCACTTCGCTTTGAATTTTAAGATCAGCTTGTCCATTACTGCAAAAAAGAATTTAAGGCAGCTGAAATTTCTAAAGAGATTGCATTAAATCTGTAGATCAGTTTGTGGAGTATTGCCCTCTTGACAAGACTGTCTTCCAATTTGTGAACATAGGTTGTCTTTCCATTTATTTAGGTCTTCTTTAATTTCTTTCATCAGTGTTTTATAGTTTTCAGAGTATAAGTTTTACACAGCTTTTGTTAAATTTATTCCTATTTTATTCTTTTTTATAAAAAATTTTAAATTGAAGTATAGTTGACACACAATATTATGTTAGTTTCAGCTGTGCAACATACTGAGTCAATCAAATACATTATGAAAGGATCACCATGATAAGTTTAGTAGCCATCTGTCACCACACAAAATTATTACAGTATTATTGACTATATTCCTTATGTTGTATAGTACATCCCCGTGACATTTATTTTATACCTGGGAGTTTGTATCTCTTAATCCCCTTCACCTATTTAGCCCAGCCCCCCACCTCCCCTCCTCTCTGGCAACCCCTAGTTTGCTCTCTGTTTCTATAAGTCTGTTTCTGTTTTGTCTTGCTTTTTGTTTTCTTTTTTAGATTCCACATGTAAGTGAGATCATACGGTATTTGTCTTTCTCTGTCTGATTTATTTCACTTAGCATAATAATCTCTAGGTCCATCCATATTTTATTCTTTTTGGCGGTATTGTAAGTGGAGGTGTTTTCTAAATTTCACTTTTGGATTGTTCATTGCAAGTATATAGAAATACAATCAATTTTTGTATATTGGTCTTGTATCCTGCAACCTTGCTGAACTCATTGATTAGTTCTAGTAGTTTTTAATGGGTTCCTTAGGAGTTTTATACACAAGATTATGTCATCCGTGATTAGAGATCATTTCACTTCTCCCTGTCCAGTATGGATGCCTTTTATTTCATTTTCTTACCTAATTTCCCTGGCTAGAACCCAGTACAATGCAGACTAGAAGTGGTGAGAGCAGACATCCTTGTCTTGTTCTTGATCCGAGGGAGAAAGCATCCAGTCTTTCATCATTATGATATTAGCTGTGTGTTTCTCACAGATGTTCTCCGTCAAGGTTGAGCGTATTTTTCATGAAAAAATGTTGGATTCTACAAATGCTTTTTCTGCATCTATTGGAGTGACCATGTATGTGGTTTCTTCTTTTTATTCTATTGATATTGTATATTACATGAGTTGGTTTCCATATATTAAAGTAACCTTGCATTCCTTGCAAGTCCTACTTGGTCATAGTGTATATTTCTTTTTATATGTTGCTGGATTCAGATGGCTAGTATTTTATTGAAGAATTTTGCATCTATATTCATAAGATATATTGGTTTGTAGTTTTCTTTTCTTGTGATGTCTTTGGTTGAAAATTTTAAAAGGTGAAATATATTCCCACATCCCCAAAGGAGTGTTTTGTGCCTTTAGCCTTTCATTTGCTTCTAACTTTCCCCTGATTTGCCCTAACGTAATTCTTATCAACCTGGTTCCATTCCCAGTCAGAAGGTGTTTTTCCATCTGGGTTTAGCAAGCTGGAGGTGGGTAGGGTGGGTGCATAAGATGACTTTGAAAATAGGACCGATATATTGCAGAACCCTTGTGTGAAAGAGGAAAAGACCTGGTGAATGAAAGTATCCAGCATCTGGGCACATATGTGATATTTTTCATCAAAACAAAAACACTAGCGACAAATTGGGTGTGAAAGACCTTTTATAACTCTCATCTTAATAATAGCAAGATTCAGGGTCTTCCCTCCCCTTCCTCAGTGTTGCCACTACTGAACTGTATACTTTCAATGGTGAATTGTATGGTAGGTAAACTATATCTCAGTAAAAGTAAAGCTATTATATAAAAAAGATACATGTTGATCATTTAAAAAAATCAAAATTATGCAGAAGTACATAGAGTGTAAAATGAAAATACCCCTCCTGTTCCTAGTGCCATTCCTCAGAGGGAACCACCACTAACAATATGGTGGATATCCTTCCAGACTTTTCTCTATGAACACAAACTACATATGTATATAATATATGTATATGTATTAAATGGGACCATACTATTCTTTATTTTTTTCACTCCTCTGTATCTCACGGACAACTTTCTGTGTCAGCACATATGCCTCTGAGGTGTCTATGGTAGGCCATATTATAGACATATTGATACATGTGTCTTTGGTCCCTTTGGTTCCCTTGGCTGCTTTCATAAGACTTTTTCCTTCCTGTCCAGGGCCAAGAGCAGCATGGGGAACAAAGCCCTGTCCCACGACAGCATCTTCATGTTAAAGTCTGAGTCTGAAAGATCAGGAAGCAGAATATGCCCCTCTCCAGAGGTCCAGAGAGGCAGACTCCTTCAGGTAATAGTGAACTCGAGCATCAGTGCCTAATTGGACTCTACTCATCTTCCATTCCCGACTCCTCTCCTGTCAAAAAACAAGGAGGGAGGAATTTGGACCTGCTTCTCAGCTGATTCTACCCCACTGTTGTAAGCATTGATGAGAGAACAAATAAATACATGATGTGCTTACCTAGTGCCCGGCACACAGGGTTGGCTGGTATCACCATATTCACTTCTCTTTACACACCCCAAGAATGCTTTAAGTATTATGACAGTGACATTCCACTGTTAATGTGCAGACATTCCAACCCCCATGTTTTTTCTTTCTTCCACAGAGATCTCATGTTTTTAGAACTCTGCCTAGAGCTTCGACTGGTAGTATGCATGGAGCTGTGTTTGGAGCTATGCCGCAATCTGTGCCCAGAAGTGGAGTCGGGGTTGCAGGCACCAAGATCACTGAGGTAATAGAGCTGACTGCTTAACCTCTAAGCCTTCCTCATCTACATTGGATATAATATTAATATCTACCTCAAAGGGTTGCTTGTGAGGATTGAATAAAGATTCAGAGAGATTAGAGAAATTGCTCAAGCTGACCCATAGAGTTAGTGGTAGACCTGGAACTCTGACCCAGATGTGTTGACCTCCAAACCCATAGTCTTTCCCTTACACCAGTCTCTAAGATGTTGAGCTTCTCTGGCCCTGCCTCCACAGGAAGGAGGGTACGTCTTTAGTCTCTGTAAAATGCAACACATATGTAGAATAGTCTCTTGCCTTCAGTTACCCCTACCCATTGCTCAGTCAGGCTCTTCCCCACTAGAGAGCTGATTATTTTACATTTGGCAAGAGGTAACTGGGGCTTATTTCTGACATGTCTGCTTAAGACCCCCTATCTCTCGCTCTGGTTTTCGTACTGTGTGTGGAAGTTCTGCTGGGTACATTAGCCATGAAGGGTGGAGAAGCAAACACTGAGATGGTCACCAGTAGCGCTGATCTTATGGTTGTAAAGCAGCCCCTAGGTCAGCAGACTGTGGGCCTCTCGCACTACAGCAGGAAAAGTCACTTCCATGAACTTTGCAGTCTTCAGTTTTAAACATCAACACCAGCTTTCACTTGTCTCCACAGCTATACGCCCTTGGCATCCAGTGGCAAAAATCGCCAAAAACCCAGGTACACACGAGCAAATGCCACGGGGTTATTTCTCATATTCAGAAAGGGGAACACTGTTTCCTGGACTCCTCCCTCTCTCCCTCCTCTCAGTCCCAGAAACAAAGAGACTCTTATAGAAGAGATAGTCCCTTAAAATAAAAAAAGATAAGAAAAAGATGCTAGGGGCATTTCTTCCCACATTGAAGGGGGCAGGGAAAACAACAGTAGCCTAAAGACAAGTTTTCTTAAATGTCTGGTTTGGGCCCACACCTCATACTTTTGGTTTGCTCCCTTAGTCCCTCCCCTGGGAAACAGGGCTGAAGGTGGAGTAGGGTGTTAACAGAAGCTGAGTCATCAACAACCAGATTGATGCTTGCGTGGGAAACTTCCCTTAAGTGCCAAGGTGACATACCTAAATGACAGGGTGGTTGATAGCATTAAGTCAACGGTCCTGACATGCAGTGTTGCTTAGAAGCTGGGGTAAATACGGACTTGGCCAATGGTTGGGTCCCTTGAAGGAGCAGGATTCTTAATGGATTAAGTGACATTCAGAGCAACTGGGAGATTGCGGGAGAGGAAATCCAGGCATACGGTTTTGTTAGAAATACCAAGACCGAGCCAATTTTTTGTTTTGATCTGATAAATGCACGCATCCCCCACCCCCCGAGAGGGGGTGTCAGCGCCCATCGACATATATTAGCTCTAGAATTACCACAGTTATCTAAGTAGGAGAGGAGTGAACGGCCAAAGGAACCGTAAGTGATTTCATGAGCCATTCAGAGTTTCACCGCCCCAGCTGTGCATACTTAGACACACATGGATTCATCTCTGACAAGCATATGCTACTGGCAGATTTTCACCTGATGTCCTATCTGAAGTGTTAGGAATGTGGGTGCCTAGGTTACTCTTTCGTGTTCTTTTTATTTGAGGACAAATTGACAAGAAGAGGTAATAGCAGATTATTAGCATCTTATTGTTGAATCAAACTGAATTCAGTCACTTAAGAAACTGAGACTACAAAGCAGCTTTTCTTATTGCTCACAGACCCAACTCTCCCTCTGCAGCCCTTCTTAAGGAAGCAGGCACACCACCTCTTCTGGCTGTTGCCTTTAAACTTCCTGAACTTGAGTATGGGACATCCCCTTCCTGGCCCTTGTAGTTAGGAGACAGGAGTGCGGATCGGTTAAGAACGTAGGCTTAAAGACAAGCAGACCTTTTCAGATGCTTGCTCTGCCACTGTGAGAGTTAGGGCCAGTCATGTAATTTCTCAGACCTGGTTTTCTCCATCGGTAATATGGAGACCACAAGAGCAAATGCTTTCAAAGAATTGTAAGGTTTGAATGAAATACATCTTTGGAGAGCACTCCCTGCCTAGCAGGGAGAAAAATCTCAAATCAATAACCTAACTCTCCAGATTAAGGAACTCGAAAGAGTAAAGCAAGCTAAACCCAAAGCTAGCAAGGGGAAGGAAATAATAAAGATTAAAGCAGAGTAAAGCCTTCAGTAAAAGTTAGCTGCCATTAGTATAGTGATTATTATCGCAATTGGGCTTGGGTATGGTTAATCCCCAAGGTCTCTCCTCAAGAGCCCCCAGTGGGACCTGGTAGTAATAAGAGGGCACCTTAGACATTGGCTGGGAGTACCCCACAGGCAGAAGCTCATTGTGGCCCCTTTTCTTTGGCTTTGAGAGTTTGACTGCCGTCTGTCCTGAACAGGAGCAGAGCCTATGACAGAAGCAAGCATGTCAGCTCCATGACAACAAGGATTTTGTTTTGTTTATTGCTGTAGACTCACTGCCTAAAATGGGTATGGTACACTGCACATGCTTAGCCAGTACTTGTTAAAGATAAAATCAGGTATTCTGATCCACATCAAGAGGACCGTGGCAGGGACCGGTGCCTCTAATTCAAGTGTACCATGAACTTCAAACTGGAATCAACTAAATCATCAGGCTGCTGAAGCTCAAGGTAAACCCAAACGATCAACTTTATCCACTTCAGAAAACTAGTAAAAACCAGTTCTAACCAGGACTAGTTCTGTAGATTTTCTAAAAATCCCAGAAAATCAGTCTTGACAGGCTTAAGATAAGCAACCAACACGGTCAAGATTTGATCCAGACAATTCCTGGACTGATAGAATGATAGAAATCAGGATTGCAGTTTGGATGCCGAGCCCAGATCATAACTCAAAGACTCACCTTCACAAGATCTGGACTTTCAAAGACAGGGCCAGGATCAAAACAAAGATCAGACTCAAACAAGATTTATAGTTGGCATCAGTAGGAGGTAACACCAGGATTCTGGCTTGGATCAAACAAGCAATTTGAAGTTTCTGTCTTTGGGGATTGGCAAAAGTGTGCAGCAACCCAGAGAGTGAACCAAGGCTATTCGTCTTTGGTTTGAGTACGTCCCGGAAGGGAAGACAAGGAGGTAGGAGATTCTTTCCGTGGCTAGTTGTTTTCACTTTGGGTTCTTAGCCCTTCAGTCGTTAAGCAACAAGTAATTTGGAGGAAGGCACACAAGTTTTAACTTTTTCCTTCTATCCTCCTCCTGGACAGATCCCACCATGGCGCCCACGCCAACCCGGCATCAGCTCACCTCTTATTCAATCTGACACAGTCTCTAAGGATTTTGAAGAAATCTCTGTTGATGATGAGTCACTGAAGAGCCCACGAAAGAAGGGTTCAGCACACGCGATCTTGACGTTGAAGAAGGCAAGTGTTAGCTCCATCCTAAGTCGCAGGTTGTGGGGGACGCTTTTATTCCTTCTGTAGCTCAATAATAGGGGGATGTCTGGGGAAGGAGCTGCCATTCTTGCTTTTGATTTGCCTGGTGCTTTACATTTTCTGTCCAATTCTACAAACCAAATAATCAGCACTGTAATTTATAAGCAATGGAAGACAGTATTTCTGAAAAAAAAGTTTGCGGATGTTTTCAGTTATTTCATGAAGAAAACAATAGAGATTTTTATGGAAGTAAGGGCTCTACAAGTTCCAATGCCCAAATCTCAAAGGTTAGGGCATGTAGTATTGTTTGATATACACATATTCGTATGAAAAGTCATTTGACACGAGAGGGCAGGTATGTGTATTTCATAGGTCTAGCTTTGCCAACCAAAAAATACCCATCAACAATTGGAAAATCAGCAGATTTTGCTCAAATCAACACTTCCATTCTCATACCATTGTGTGGTTAATTAACCTTGGGGACTAAAAAGTGTACAGAAAGGTAATTTATGACGAAGATAATTGCCCAGTCAGCGCAAAACTCCTCTGTTTTGATGTTAATAGATTCTATGGAGAGAAGCAGCCTTCAGTTAGATATGGCAACAAAAAAAAGCAATTTGGTTAGGACCAGAGTTAAAGCACAGGCTTTAACATTCCTTGTTGTCATGGAGCTGACAAGCTTGCTTCTGTCATAGGCTCTGCTCAGGACAGATGGCCGTCAAACTCTCAAAGCCAAATTAGGATGCTCACTGATTTATGAATTTAGGCTACCACAATAGCACTAAGTCAGACAAATTGGAACAGTCTGAACTGGTGGAAGGATTGAATTAGATAACATTTTTTATCATGGTAAAATACACATAACATAAAATTCATCATGTTGAAGCGTACAGTTCAGTGGCATTAAGTACATTCACAATGTTGTGCAACCATCACCGCTCTCCAGTTCCAGAATAGCTTTGGTTCCTGCATAAGGGAGCCCCAGGCCCACTAAGCAGTCACTCATCATTCCTCCTCCCTCTCAGCCCTTGGTAACTACTAATCTGCTTTCTGTCTCTGGATTTGCCTATTCTGCATACTTCATGTAAATGTAATCACACGATATATGGCCTTCTGTGTCTGGCTTTTTTCACTTAGCATAATGTTTTTGAGGTTCATCCATGTCGTAGCACAGATCAGTGCTTCAGTCATTTTTATGGCTGAATAATACTCCATTGTATGGATGTCCCATGTTTAGTTTAGCTGTTCATCCATTGATGAACATTTGGGTCCTATCCACCATTGGCTATTGCTGCTGTGAACATTCATACACAAGTCTTTGTTTGAACACCTGTTTTTTAATTCATTTAGGTATATACCTAGAAGTGGAACTGCTGGGTCATATGGTAATTCTATACTTAACTTTTTGAGGACCCACCAAATTGTTTTCCCCAGCAGCTACACCACTTTACATTCCCACCAACTATATATGAGGGTTCCAATATCCCTACATCCTGGCTAACACTTGTTATTTTCCTTTTTTTATATACAGTGTTTCTAGTGGGTGTGAAGAATCTCACTGCGGTTTTGATTTGCATTTCCCTAGTGACTAATGACGTGAAGCTTCATTTCATATGCTTATTGGCCATTTGTATTATCTTCTTAGGAGAAATGTCTATTCAAGTTCTTTGCCCATTTTTAAATTGGGTTGTTTGTTTTTTTGTTGTTGAGTTGTAAAAGTTTTTTTATATATTCTGGATACTACACCTTTATCAGATATACGGTTTGCAAAAAAATTCTCCCATTCTGGGAGTTGTTTTTTAACTTTATCAAGAGAGCAAAGTTGGATAAAAGTTTAAAATTTTTGTTGAAGTCCAATTTATTGATTTCTTTTCTTTTGGTACTTGTGCTTTTGGTGTCATATTTAAGAAACCATTGCCAAATCTAAGATCATGAAGATTTACCCCTATGTTTTCTTCTAAGAGTTTTAGCTCTTATATTTAGACCTTTGATCCAGTTCGAGTTTACTTTTACATATTGTGTGAGGTAAGGGTCTAACTTCATTCTTTTGCATGTGGCTATCCAGTTGTCGCAGCACCATTTGTTGAAAAGACTACTCTTTCCTCCATTGAATGGTCTTGTCACCCTTCTGCAAATCACTTAACTGTAGATGAATGGGCTTATTTCTGGACTCTCAGTTCTATTCCATTGACCTATATGTCTATGCTTATGCCAGTACTACACTGTCCTGATTACTGTAGCTTTGTAGTAAGGTTTGAAATCAAGAAGTGTGAGTCCTCCAATTCTATTCTTCCTTTTCAAGATCGTTTAGGCTATTCAAGATCCCTTGAAATTCTGTATGAATTTTACAATCAGTTTTTCCATATCTTCAAAAAGACACATTGGGATTTTGATAAGGATGGCACTGAATCTGTAGATCACTTTGGGGAGTATCACCATCTTAACATTAGGTTTTCCAATCCATGAACATGAGACGTCTTTTCAGTGTTTTTAGTTCTTTAATTTCTTTCAGCAATATTTTGTAGTTTACAGTGTGCAAGTCTTGAACCCCTTGGTTAAATTTATTTCCAATTAGTTCATTCTTTTTGATGCTATTGTAAATGGAAGTGTTTTCTTAATTACCTTTTCTGAGTGTATAGAGATACAACTAGATTTTGTGTGTTGATTTTGTATCTTTCAGCTATGATTGCTTCATTTATTAGCTCTAACAGACTTATGGGGATTTTTCAGAATTTTCTTTTTTTTAATTTGTTAATCTTTTAATTTCTTTTCTTTATAGTATGTCATTTATATTGACTTCTCTATACAAATTTATTTGGTATTTTCTTCTGCTTTCATGAGTATGCAAAATCTATCTGGGAATTTTTTCCCCAGACATTGCAATTTTCATGTGTTCTGGGAATTTCTATTTGGCTCCTTTTTAAAATAGCTTCCATTTCTCCTTGAAATTCCATATCTGATCATTCATTATAAGTATAATGACTATATGTATATACAGAATTTTCTGTACATAAGATTATGTCATTTGTAAAGAGGGATAGTTTTACTTCTTCCTTTCCAATTTGTAGGCATTTTCTTTCTTTTCCTTGCCTAATTGCTCTGGTTAGAGCTTCCAGTAGACTGCTGAATAAAAGTGGCAAAAGCAGACATCTTTGTCTTGTTCCTCATCTTAGGGGAAAAGCTTTCACCATTAAGCCTTTCACCATTAAGTATGATGTTAGCTATGGGTTTTTCATATATGCTTGTTATCCCTAGTTTGTTAGGTGCTTTTAGCATAAAGGGTATTGGATTTTGTAAAATGCTTTTTTTACATCAATTGTGATGATATTATTTTTTCTTTCTTTCTATTAATATGGTATATTACATTTGATTTTCATAACATATTACATAATTATTTTCATATGTTGAACCTCCTTGCAATTCTGGGATAAATCCCAGTTGCTCATAAAGTATAATTGCCCTTAATATGCTGTTGGATTTGGTTTGCTAGTATTTTGCACATGTATTCAATGAGGGATGTAGGTCTGTAGCATTCTTTTCTTGTGATGCCTTTATCTGGCTTTGGAATCATGGTAATGTTTGCCTCATAGAATCAGGAAGTGTTCCCTCATAATTTTTTGAAATATTTGTGAAGGATTGGCATTATCCTTTAAAAGTTCGGTAGAATTCACCAGAAAGGCAACTGGTCCTGGGTTTTTCTTTGTTGGGAGGTTTTGATTACTGATTCAGTCTCTTTACTTGTTATAGGTATATTCAGATTTTCTATTTCTTTTTGATTCAATTCTGGTAATTTGGATGTGTCTAGGAATTTATCCATTTCATCTAGGCTATCTATACAGTTATTCATAGTACTGTCTTATAATCCTTTTTATTTCTATAAGGTCAGTAGTAATTGTTCCCTTTCATTCTTATTTTAGTAATTTGTATCTTGTCTCTTTTTTTCTTAATTAATCTAGCTAAAGATTTGTCCATTTTGTTTTACTTTTCAAGGAACCAACTTTTGGTTTCATTGATTTTCCGTATTGTTTTTCTGTTCCCTATTTCATTACCTCTGCTTTAATCTTTGTTATTTCCTTCCTTTTGCTAGCTTTGGGTTTAGTTTTATCTTTCTAGTCCCTTAAGGTGGAGAGTTAGGTTATTGATTTGAGATCTTCCTTCTTTTTTTTTTTTTTTTTTGCGGTATGCGGGCCTCTCACTGTTGTGGCCTCTCCCGTTGCAGAGCACAGGCTCCGGACGCGCAGGCTCAAAGGCCATGGCTCACGGGCCCAGCCATTCTGCGGCATGTGGGATCTTCCCGGACCGGGGCACGAACCCGTGTCCCCTGCATCGGCAGGCGGACTCTCAACCACTGCACCACCAGGGAAGCCCCTTCCTTCTTTTTTAACAAGCATATACAGCTATAAATTTCTAAGGACTGCTTTTGCTGTATCTCATAAGTTTTGTTATGTTGTGTTTTAGTATTAATTCATGTCAAAGTATTTTCTAACTTTCCTTTTGATTTCTTCTTTGACCCATTTGTTGCTTAAGGGTGTGTTGTTTAATTTCCACCTATTTGTGAATTTTCCAGTCTTCCTTCTGTTATTGATTTCTAGTTTTGTTCTGTTGTGGTCAGAGAAGATACTTTGCATGATTTCAGTCTTTTAACATTGATTAAGATTTATTTTGTGGCCTAGCATATGGTCTGTACAGGAGAATGTTCCATGTGTATTTCAGAAGAATATGTATTATGCTCTCATTGAATGGAATGTTCTGTATATATCTGTTAGGCTTACTTGGTTTGTAGTATTGTTTCGAGTCCTCTATTTCCTTATTGCTCTTCTGTCTAACTGTTTATTCATTAGTGAAAGTGGGATACTGAAGTCTCTATTATTGTATAACTGTCCGTTTCTCCCTTCAATTCTGTCAATTTCTGCTTCATGTATTTAGGAGTGGGTCAGTTTTTTGGTGTGTATACATTTATGATTGTTCTATCTTCCTGATGGATTGACCCTTTTATCAACGTATAATGTCCATCTTCTTTGTCTCCTATGACAATTTTGACCTGAAGTCTGTTTTGTTTGATGTTAGTATAGCCACCCGACCTCTCTCTTGGTTACCATTTGCTTGGAAACCCTTTAATCATCCTTTCACTTTCAACTTATTTGTGTCTTTGGATCTAAAGCGAGTCTCTTGTAGATAGCATATAAATGGATCATGTTTTTAAAATTCATCTTGCCAATTTCTGCCTTTTAATTGGAGAGTTTAATTCATTTACATTCATAGCAATTACTGATAAGGAAGGACTTCTTCTGTTTTGCTCTTTTTTCCCTATATATCTTACATCTTTTTTGTACCTCAGTTCTTCCATTACTACCTTATTTTGGATTTAATTAATTTTTTTTCAGTGTACTGTTTTCATTCCCTTCTCTATATATTTTAAAATTATTTTCTTAGTGGTTACCTTGGGGATTACAATTAAGAAAATTAACATTTTAAGACATGTAGTTTTCTCTTACTATTCATTTGAATAAGCTAACTGTGTATTTTATAGGTTAATGAATAGAGTTAAATTATTTATAGTCAATATTTCCTAACATCAATCTAAACATTTGTCCTGCTTTAATGTCATAAACTCTCTATTAGTAAATTGAAGAATTGAGTCAGTTTGTTATAGGTTAAATCTTGGGCTTGCAGGCAGAAAATCTAATCTTTGGTGGTGCAGTTAAACCCTTACCATCCCCAGGCATGAGAGTTTCTCAGCTATTTCTGCCATCCTCCCTGGTTTATTAATTCACTAGGGTGACTACAAGGGGGGCAGGTGGCAGCAACAGTAGCAGAGCCACACTGTATCCAGTGTAATAGGTCATGTTCATTATTCATCCAAATCATCAAGAAAAGTTGGACTATATTCCCTGATCCCTATTTAGGAAGATAGGGAAGTAATGCCTTTGGAAAAGATGTTTACTAAAAGCTAAGAATTAAAAGATGTTGGTATGTATTTTAAAGGATGTGTCAGTTAGCTGGAAGATTCACTTTTGTGAATCTTTAGTCTCAGTAACTCTGGACTATGAGTAAAGGGCTGTAAATCAGAGCTGGAAAAGATGAAAAGATTTCATAGTTAAAAGCATTTTACAGGGAAGGACAGTAAAGCACAAATAGATGCCCAGGGTCAAACACTCTGGTAGTGGCAGAGCTAAGACCAGAACCCAGTCTTTTGACTTCCAGCCCAGTACCCTTTTCACCCCATCATGTTTCCCCTAGCTTAAACATTACAGTTTAGCTTTAAAAGGAAAACAAAGTATAAGTTGAAAGAACAGTTGGTAGGGTGGCCAGCCTAGGAGGGCGTTCTGGTGGCCCTGAGAGAATCTCCTTGGTTTGGTGTCAAGCAGAGGCTGATCAATTACTGTGCACTAAATCCTGTATGTGCATGATCACCTGGAAACCTCACCACAAACCTGGAAGACAGGGAATGTTGGCTAAGGGAAACTTAGTGTGACTCTTCTTTCTGGCTTTCTTCCTTCTGCCTAATTGAGGAAAGGCCTGGGTAGCGCTCTCTCACAAGGCCAGGACATCTACTTCTTCCTTGTGACTCTCTCCCTGACACATGGATGAATGCAAAGGAGTCCAGGAACATTTATGACACAGAGGCTGCTGCCACTGGCTCCCTGCTTTGGAATCTCTTAGGTCTGCAAGTCGCACAGGAGGTTTCCCCTTATCCTTAATTTATAGATGCGGACAGAGATATAGAAAATAATTTGCCCAAGATCACACAGAGAGTAAATGATGGAGCAAAGATCTGAATCCAGGTCTATCTGACCTCATTCACTCAAAAGTAAATAATTTTGAGCTGTGTCTGTTTACATAGGCACTTCGAGTAGGAGCATAAAGAGGTGTATGTTTGCCTTTAGATGTATATCACAAAGGCTGACACAAAGCTAACTACAGACACTGTTCAGTGCAGTGCAACTCTGACATTTCCAAAGCTGCGCTGTCATTATCTGAAAACCTTGATTATGCTGAACCAATTTCACCCCCTTCAGTGTGAGGGCTGAGCCCTTCATCTTTTCTCTCTTCCTTCCTAACCAAACCCCAATCCTTTTTCTTCTTTTGAGCTAGAAAGACATAATTCATGCCTTCACTAAATCCCCTGAAAAGAAGCCAAACAGGACTTGAATGTGGCTCCCAGGTCTGGTGAAGCAAATTTAAGAATTCCAGTGTTGCAAAGAGTATGATTGTTGTCAGGCCCAGCAACCCCATTTTCAGATTTATGGCCTTGCAGTGTGGGTCAGTGTTTTCTGGGGTGTTTTCTAGAGTTCCCTGCAGCATATCACTCAGAGATCAGAAATCTCAAATCTAGGTGAACCACTTCCAATAGGTAAAATGATCACCAGGTTATGGACGCCATTGGAAATAATTTCCATTGTGAATTGTATTATTATGCTCCCAACAGAGCCATTTGGATAGTAAGGACTTTTTTCCTGATGCTTTTTTCTTCAGCAACCATTCAGGCGTGGGTTCAGAGCACTTAAGTCTGATTCAAGCTCTTTCTTTCCCTCTTTTAGGCAAAACCAAAGCAGGAGAAGCCAAGCCTTCCACTGGCTTCTGAAGAAGAGAAAAGCACAACCGAACGGAAAGAAGCTGACCAAAAGAAGCCGAAAAAAGACAGTACAGGTTGGCACATCTTCACCCTCACCCAGAAACATGTCCTCAAGCTTAATGGCATGGTGCTATGTGACAGGAACCCAGGCCTGCTGTTGTGATCCTCAGAGAGCTTTCAGTTTAAGATGCATACTAATGTGGTCCAAGTTTATCCATCTAAACTGCCCAGTTAATACAGTTGCCACTTGTGTGAGATTTAGGTAAAGGGCCATACCTGGATTCCTATTGTACCTAAATGAATTTCCAACCAGAGAGGTGTTTTATGTTTGTTTGTAAGTTTGTTTAATTCTATGTCTAATGTACATGCGGAGCTCCTCAGTGAGCCCAGATATCTGAGGGCAGCCAGTGATTTCCCCTTCAGCATTCCCCCTCAGCAAGAGAACCAGACAATAATAACAGAACTGGTGAAAAAGACCCTGTTTTTTTTAAAGTTGCTTTTCTCTTCCAGTAGAGAGAAAAGGTCTTGTGTTAACAGTGAGACCGGTTCCCATGTCCATGGGCAAAGAGGGCTTGGGAAGCTGCAGACAGATGTCCTTGGCAGCCAACACCCATCAAATCTCCAAACAACAAATACCACTGGAGTGAAAATCTCTGTGTGTGTGTGTGTGTGTGTGTGTGTGTGTGTGTGTGTGTGTGTGTGTGTTAGCTCCAGCTGATGGCAATCTAATTTCAAGCAATACTTGATAAACCAAAATTCCTGTTCCACAAATTAAGTCAAACAGTTCTTTCATATTTTTTCCACAAAGGATTTCACATGTGGGTTCAAAGGCAGGATATCCCTAAATACGTTTTCCCATGAAAAGTAACAAAACCACAAAACTCTTCTGCATAACAACAACAAAACAAGAAATTAAATGAGTAATTTCCTTTGCTTTCTTTTTATCCTCTTTTCATATTTATTTATTTATTTTATTTTAATTAATTAATTTATTTATTTATTTATTTTTGCAGTACACGGGCCTCTCACTGTTGTGGCCTCTCCCGTTGCAGAGCACAGGCTTTGGACGCCCCGGTTCAGCGGCCATGGCTCACGGGCCCAGCAGCTCCGCGGCACGTTCTATCTTCCCGGACCAGGGCACAAACCCACGTCCCCTGCATCGGCAGGCAGACTCTCAACAACTGCGCCACCAGGGAAGCCCTCATATTTATTTTTAATAGCTGTCACTTTTACACACAGAGGATAATACTTATTCAGTGTCCACGAGGGCAGATACTTTGGTTTTCCATGTCATGGGAGTGGTTTGGAGTACAGCACCCCGTGCTCAGCACTGTATGCTGGATGTGAAACCCCTCGATGGAGCTAGGGACCAGTGGCTGATGAGGGAGGGGAGGCCCCCGAGGGCCTTCCCACCTGGGGATTAAAATAAGTTCCTTAGTAAAAGTACTAGAGCGGAGAGGAGCAGTCTGTAGAACTGCTGCCTTGTGCTCGACCTGAAGCCTGCGGACCGATGCAGTTGTTAAGGCTTTCCAAGAATGGCTTTGCATGTATATTACATCAGATTATTTTAATAAAGAGAGTTGAAAGCAGAAGAAATGGGGGGCCATAATCCTACCTTCCAGATAACCCCTGTTGACACCTTTCTAAAAAATAAAGCAATACCTGCACGTTATATAAAAATTAAGTAGAATTAAGTAGAAAATAGAAATACTAAGTAGGAAGTAAAATTTCCCTTCACCCTGCCCCAGTCAGTTTCCTAAAAGGTAACCGTTGTTACAAGTCCAAAAATTGGCTTTTGCTGTGTCTCACATCTAATGGTGGAACAGAGTATTGATATAATGGTGATGTGCCAACCTTGGAATCGGTTCACAAAACCGGATTTCACTTTGATTTAAAAATTTCCCACCACAGAAGGCTAATAGTGACCAAGTTGTTTTCTGTGTTCTGAATAGGTACTTCTCCATGCTGGGGAATTCAATAGCAAATAGGTACCCATTGGGCCAGGGAGGAGTATTCTTATTTCACAAAATCAAAAGTACACATCTTTCCTTTCCTTACTTCTATTTGGTACAGGTGCCTCAGGCTGGAAACAGAGAAACAAAACTTGGATTTATGAACAGAAGACAACAGATCAGGCTGCAAACAGAGATGCTGCTGAGAGCCAGGGCTACCCATTTCCAGCAGCATACAGAAGACAATGTGGAAGGAGAGGCCCAAGTACTGCAGAAACAAGTGAGCATGAATCCAAAGGAAGAAGCTTTAAACCATCCAGTCGAGCACTTGGCCTGGGTAATGGAGCTTGGATCCCACCTGCCGGTAAGACTGCCAGGGATTTCTGTTCCTGGCACCTGCCCTTGGAGAAGCAAGTCATGGAGCAGCCCCCAACGGCACGAACAGAAAGCACTACTCCTCAGGAGCTGCTTTCAGATAAAGATGACATGGGAAGGAGAAATGCCGGTATAGATTTTGAACGCAGAAAAGCACCAGCGTCACAACCCATACCTGAAGACATGGAAGAGTCCATGGTTAGTGGTCTGTCACCATCCCATGAAGATGGGGCTTCTGGAGCCGAGAAGACAGAAGCCGGAGCTGCTCTTTTACGCGTGGTAGGAAGCCCTTCTACAATCCGAGATATTTTCTCAGTGGCACTGGAGGATCGGTTGTTTATGGATCCTTCTGATAGCCAGTCAGAAGAGAAAGAAGCGTCCAGCTTTGATCTGAAAAGTGTCCAATTTAAAATGAAGTCAGCCCAAGATACCTACAAACAAAAGTCTCCTGGAAATGTTCTCCAGGCCTTTACAGCAAGCACTTCAGATAGCTTGCTGAGAGCTTTGGTAGAGGGAGGTATTTCTGCAGAGAGGCTGCCTCGCAGAAGCCTTTCCGCGTCCCTGGGGGAGCTGGAAGCTGAAGCCGTCGCCTCAGATTCAGAGGGTACTTCAGAGTCTGGCAGTGGTTCTGAGCAGCAGCTGGCTCTTGGATATCTTTTCCAGCCCTCCAAGAAGCACAAAAATGAACAAGAAGTCTTCCCAGAATCAGAAAGTTCAGCTGTGGAAGTGAGCGGTCCTGAGCAGCGGCAGGCTCCTAGGCGGTGGGCTCCTAGATATTCTTCCCGTGCCTTGGGGAAGCCAGAAGTGGAAGCTGTCTTTTCGTGTTACGAGAGTGCTTCCAAAGAGGGGAGTGGCTTTGGGCAGCAGCGGGCTCCCAGGCACTCTCTCCAGCCTTTGAGGAAGTCCAAAGATGGCCAAGAAGTCTTTGCAGAATCCGGTTTTGTTGTGCAAATGACCAGTTCTGATGAGCAGCTGGCTCCCAGATGCGCTTCCCAGACTTTGGGGAGGCCCAGAGACCAAAAAGAAGTCTCGTGGGCTTCAAAGAACGTACCTGGAGTGTGGGGTGCTTCTGTGCAGCAGATGCCTCCCAGGCACCCTTTCCAGTCCTGGGTGGGCCCTACATCCGAGCAACAAGCCTCTGCAGGTCCAGAGAGCGCTGCTGCGGAGTGGGGCATTTCCATGGAGCCGCGGCCTCCCAGAGTGACTTCTCAGGCCCAGAGGAGACCAGTAGTGAAACAACCAACCTCTGCAGGTCCAGAGAGTGTCGACATTGAAGGGCATGCTTCTACCAAGCTGCTGCCTTCCAAACATTCCCGGGTCACTGTGAGACCTAAACTCCAGCAAATGTCAAGTTATGAGGGTGCTGCTGTTGAGGTGGGCATTTCTGGGAGCTCACTGCCTCCCAAATATCCTGCCCAGTGGGATAAAAAGTTTAAAGCTGAGGAAATGTCCTCACGTCTAGAGAGCATGGCAGTTGAAGAAGGCATATCTAAGGAATCGGTGCTTCCCAATCATCTTTTTCAGTTGTTCATGAAGTTTATGGTACAGCACATCTTTTCAGAGAGCCCTTCTACTGAGGAGGGAATCCATGTGGATCCTCTGTCTTCAAATCAACCTTCCAAATCTTTGTCGAGGCCTAAAGTCGAGCACCAAGTTTTCTCAGGCTACGAGGGTACCGATATTGAGGGAGGCATGTTTTTGAAGAAACTGCCCGCAAAAAGCCCTTTACCGTGCTTGGGGAGGCCTGAAGGCCTGCGGGAAGTCTTCTTACGCTCAGAGAGCACTCCTGTAAAGTGCAATAGTTCTAAAGAGCAGCTGCCTTGCAGACACCCTGGCCAAGCCGAAGATGAGGCTGAATTTCAGCCACAGACTTTCTCAACAGGCCCAGTGAGTGCAACTGTGGAGTGGAGAGGCTCGGAGGAGCACCTGCCTCCCAGACACCCTTTTCAGGCTCCTGCAGCCCCTGAACACCAGCAACAGGTTTATTCAAGTCCCATGAGAGCTGCTGCTGAGGGAACCATGTTGGAGAGCGATCCTAGCTGCTGGTCCCTACCGAGAGACCCAGCTTCTCCAAACAAAATCAAGAAACACAGCCAAGGCTCTGAAGACCTCATTAAGAACGTCCCGATTCCTGCTACCAAAACTGTGACGTTCACCGATGCTCCTGTCTGGCAAACATCCACTTCTGAGGGCGCTTACTCTAAGGAGGAAGTCCTTGAGAGTGGTGATCAAGGTAACAGACATTCAAATTTATCCACCAATCGGGCTGTTGTTGAAAACAGTTTTGGAGTCCAACTGAGAAAAACCTCTTCCTCACAGAAGTATAAGGGTGAGAAAAGAGATTTTACCAAGCTTCCTTCTGTTTCCCAAAGGGGTCCCCTCTGGACATTGGTCCACATTCTGTAATGGACACATAACCATCTCCCCATCCCCCTTTCCCTGTGCACCTTACATGTAGATGGGAGTTTATGCTTTTCTCAAAATACCGTTACGTGGATGCTCTCTTCAGCACCGTGTAGATTTTAAAAGCCGGCTCATTAATAGAGCACTATGTTCAGACCCTCAGCTTGAAATCTTAATTTATTGTAAATGTTTGTGCTTCCACGGCTTCTTAACTCACCTGAAATGTCTAAGGATCCAGAGCTAGGTGATTTTTTGAGCATTTATGGCTCTCAAAGCCTTTGTACCTTCAGACTCATCATCACACAGTCTTGTACATGCCTATAACCGTATCCATTTAACCACACACTTGCATTAGAGACCACGAAGTAACAGATGCAATAAGATTTTCCTTGGAGTTCGAGAAATGACATCAGTGACCGAAGCGTCTGGCCTCCTAGGAATTTTCCCAGCCCACCTGGCAACCATTGTCCTACCCTGAAATGGGGATAGGCAGAGGGATGGACAAGGGAGGCAAAGGGACCAGTAAGAGGATGGCTTGCAAACTTCGAAGTACAGCTTCTTATCTACTCAAGGAACTCCTGCCTTGCCAAGTTGTGGGGAGGGCACAAAAGAAGGGGGCCCTTCTCTATATGTTATCTTTTTATTTTCATTTGGCAGTTAACAAGGATCCCCATTTGGGACATCATTGTGGGTAGGTCCCAGCCAGTCTCAAGACCCTGCCTGCCTCACTTTATTTATTTATTTTTAAAATAAATTTATTTTTTAAATTTATTTATTTTTGGCTGCGTTGGGGGGTCTTCGTTGCGGTGCATGGGCTTATCACTGCGGTGGCTTCTCTTGTTGTGGAGCACGGGCTCTAGGCGCGTGGGCTTCAGTAGTTGTGGTTCGTGGGCTCTAGAGCGCAGGCTTCAGTAGTTGTGGCACGTGGGCTTCAGTAGTCGTGGCTCACAAGCTCTGGAGCACAGGCTCGGTAGTTGTGGCGCATGGGCTTAGTTGCTCCACGGCATGTGGGATCTTCCCAGACCAGGGCTCAAACCCATGTCCCCTGCATTGGCAGGCGGATTCTCAACCACTGCGCCACCAGGGAAGCCCCAGCCTCACTTTAGTTCTAACTTCTTTCATTCCTTTCTCAGGAAAAGCTCCTGGTCAACAGTCAGATCATGCCACCTCAGAGCCAGCTTGGATAACCATGATAAACCAGAGGCAGGGGAGTCTCCAGGCCAACATTCCTGTGAAAGAGCCAGAAACCAAGAATAGAGCTGGAGCCAAGGCTGAGACTAAGGAACCTGGATATGGGGTAGGACCTGGAACAGCCCACAAAACACTCCAAAAGGGTGCTGGAGCCAACTGATTAAGCTTACATTGGGAACTTTCCCAGACATGCAGCTCCCCAGCTCTTTGGATGTATTAGGCAAGGGAAGGGAACTCTTTGGGGGCAAAGACTTGCTTTGTACTCATAGAAATGTGCTCCACTTTATGTTCTTAAAGCATTTGTGAAAAGTAATGAATACGAGAAGATTCTGTAAATCAAATCCTGTCCTAAATATTCTAGAGCAGGATTCCATGAAATTGGTTGAGAAATAAGTGGTCATTAAAAATCCCCAAAGGTCACCACTGGGGTGAGAGTTGAGTAACTATCCTTACAGATATTTTAGGCCTATAAATATGTATATGTATTTAAGAAAATATAAATGGAATTAAACTATACGTATTATTTTTCACTTATCTTATTTCTGGGCACCTTTCCATATCAGTACATAATGATTTAACTTCATGTAAATAAAGGTAATGTTTGGTGTTTGGGTTTCCATATATTGATTTGGTTTGGTCTGGCACCTCCCTGTAGGTTAAAAGAGAAGTTATGTGATGAACTAGGCTAATGGTACCACATGTGGATCAGGCATGCTGGGATGATGTCTTGCTTCCAGTGTCCCATTTTCAATGTCTTTGGAAGTTTTAGAATGAGAACCCCTCTTGTCAAAACTACACAAAACTGACTCAAGAAAACTCAATGAAATTTACGTATCGAGATGTCTAAGTTCCTATACTTTGTTAGGTGCCTACTGAATCTGTTGTGGGATCGTGTGAAAATCTGTTTAACTCTTTGCTTTAAAGATCTTTTCATTTCATTATTAGTATTTTTAAGGGAGCAGGGTCATACAGGGGGCAAAGTCCACCTTGGTTAAAGCTTTGTCAGAGGGGAATACACTAGGGCATATGAACTAATTAATTTAGACCAGTTGTGGAGAGGTTAATTTGAAAAGCTTAAACTGTACAATTTTGAAAAGACCTATTGTTATATCACTTTGTAATGCGAGGAGCGCACATCAGATGTAAATAGGTTTTGTTACATAGAAATCTATGGAACTCAAGTCAGTCAACTGATAAGATTTGTTTGTGACCACCGCATTTCTGTTCGCTTTCTGTTAAGTGCCGGTAAAGTCCTAGAGAAAATGTTGTTGTCAAGTTACGTAATTCTCTTGTTAACCCGTTTACACTGTTTGTATGATTAGACAGCCTTTTCTCCCAGCTCAGAAAGGTGATAAAGTTGAGCCAGCTTAGATTTTGTGAACCTAAATTCTGAACCAAGGTGCTTTCTGTGCTATTTCTTTCCTTATCTCTCTCTTTCCTTTTGATTAATGTTGAACTTATAATACCCAGGTCAGGACTTGCACCTCGTGATCTGAATAAGTAATTTGCTGTTTTCATGTCAGGACTTACAAGCTTTCGGTTTTCATTTTTGTGTTAAAGAGAACTGGCCTTGCAGATGAAAACCAACCGAGGAGGGTTTTCACTTCTGATGTCAACAGACAGGAGAAGATGGCACCGAAGCCACCGAAGTCTACAGAAGCAGGTAAAAAACACACCCCAACCCCCCACTCCCAAAATAGCCCTGGCAGAAGTTGTGAAACTTTTGCCAATTCCAGACAATACATGTCTCTTCCCCCAAATCAGCTTGATTCTCTCATGGTTCTTCCATTAGATACAGATATTAGCTTGTTTTAGGAAAGTCCAATTATTATGACTACTATAAGTCAGTCCAATGTATAATTTTCAGAGGGTCTTCCAGTCTTTTACCCCATCGAGGAAGCTGTATCGGAACAAAATTGTGATCACTCACTAGAACTTTCCTGTGGCTGGTATTCAAGAGGAAAGAATCAAGCCACTTTCTAGTCCATAGCAAAACGGTATTTTCTCACCTTCTACATTTCCAGGGAAACTGTGGAAAGTAATCCACTATAAACGCCCAATGGTACTGAATTGTTTTTTAACTATTTAAAAGGCTTGTTTCAGCCCCTCTGTATTCTGAGCAGAGGTATGAGAGGTGGGGAAATGTTGAAAGCTGAAACAAACACTGTGCTGTGATAGAATAGAATGGGGTCTCATCAGTAGAGTCATGTGCCAGAGGGATTCTTTTTTCAGAAGGAGCAGGGGGGAGGGGAGGATAGATTTATATTGAGTCATCTTCGTTCTCTGCCTCAGTCCGCCTCATGAAGAAATTAAACTAGGAATTAGGAACCCACCATCTGGCCATGATACAGCAGCACTTGACCTGCTTATAGCTGTGAATAGTCTCATGGGCACAGTAATCCAACTCTTACTGTGCATTAGGATCACCTGATGTACTTTTAAAAAATTACAGATGGCCCTGGATCCATTGCTAGAGATTCTAATTCAATTAGTTCAGGAAATAGCATGTGCATTTGTATTTTTAAAAAGAGCCCTAGGTGGTTCTAATGTGTGGCCAGGGTTGAGAACCACTGGTTGAGTCTAAGCCACTAAGTCAATCAAGCATAAAGCAGGATGAGGGAAGGAGTAGAACTGGGGAATAGTGAAGTAGGCTGCTAGGTAGGAGTAGTTGATATAATGTTATTTAGCATATAGACTTTTACTGGGTGTATCTATTGAGTCATCAACAATCATTTCATACAGCATAATGGATTGGCAAAACAAAAACAATATTACCTAATATGAAATTTTAAAAACTGAACAAATACCATACAACATGTTCCCTCTCTGACCTCAATTCAAAAGTGTAAGACAATCCAATAATAACCACCCAAAGATTGGCATTTGTAGCTGTAGGTATTTTCTCTCAGGCCTTCCCATGTCAGGCCCCTGTGGCTCTAGCCATATTGATGTTACCCTTTTCACATACCACCCTATGGCATTGCCCATGCACTGACTTTTAGAAGACAGAGGAAACCTGAAAGGTGGAAAATTTTTACTGCATCCCATAAACATACTTCAGTATCTCTGGGGCTTCTTAACTGCTTGTGTGTTATTTGCTATAGTTCCAGTAGAATTCGAAGATGAGAAGATATTTCAAGTACCTTCTACAGAAAAAGGAACCAGAAGGTCTTCAACTCTCCCAGCCATGCTACCACAGCCGGCTGAGCCAGCTGAGCCAGCCTGGTTCTCCCTGGCCAAGAAGAAAGCCAAAGCATGGAGCCGTGTAGCAAAAACCACGCAATAAACAGCTCCTGGATGGAGTATCAGCATTTTAAATGACAATTGCCAATAGCTGTATTAATGTCATGTAGTGAATTATTTACTGTAACCATTTTTATTACGCACAAGAGCCTTACAAGGGGAATTAAAGCTAATAATTATTTGAATGAAACAGATGCCATGAATGCCTAACCTTCAGTACAGTCACTGCCAGCATCTGAAAACCCAGCATTTCCTCTATAAAAACTATGTAAAATGTAAAACAGAAAGATAGATCAGTGGAACAGGATAGAAGGCCCAGAGATAAACTCACGCACTTATGGTCACCTTATCTTTGATAAAGGAGGCAGGAATGTACAGTGGAGAAAGGACAGCCTCTTCAATAAGTGGTGCTGGGAAAACTGGACAGCTACATGTAAAAGTATGAGATTAGATCACTCCCTAACACCATACACAAAAATAAGCTCAAAATGGATTAAAGACCTAAATGTAAGGCCAGAAACTGTCAAACTCTTAGAGGAAAACATAGGCAGAACACTCTATGACATAAATCACAGCAAGATCCTTCTTGACCCATCTCCTAGAGTAATGGAGATAAAAACAAAAATAAACAAATGGGACCTAATGAAACTTCAAAGCTTTTGCACAGCAAAGGAAACCATAAACAAGACCAAAAGACAGCCCTCAGAATGGGAGAAAATATTTGCAAATGAATCAACTGACAAAGGATTAATCTCTAAAATTTACAGGCAGCTCATGCAGCTCAATAACAAAAAAACAAACAACCCAATCCAAAAATGGGCAGAAGACCTAAATAGACATTTCTCCAAAGAAGATATACAGACTGCCAACAAACACATGAAAGAATGCTCAACATCATTAATCATTAGAGAAATGCAAATCAAAACTACAATGAGATATCATCTCACACCAGTCAGAATGGCCATCATCAAAAAATCTAGAAACAATAAATGCTGGAGAGGGTGTGGAGAAAAGGGAACACTCTTGCACTGCTGGTGGGAATGTGAATTGGTTCAGCCACTATGGAGAACAGTATGGAGGTTCCTTAAAAAACTACAAATAGAACTACCATATGACCCAGCAATCCCACTACTGGGCATATACCCTGAGAAAACCATAATTCAAAAAGAGTCATGTACCAAAATGTTCATTGCAGCTCCATTTACAATAGCCCGGAGGTGGAAACAACCTAAGTGTCCATCAACAGGTGAATGGATAAAGAAGATGTGGCACATATATACAATGGAATATTACTCAGCCATAAAAAGAAACGAAATTGAGCTATTTGTAATGAGGTGGATAGACCTAGAGTCTGTCATACAGAGTGAAGTAAGTCAGAAAGAGAAAGACAAATACCGTATGCTAACACATATATATGGAATTTAAGAAAAAAAAATGTCATGAAGAACCTAGGGGTAAGACAGGAATAAAGACACAGACCTACTAGAGAATGGACTTGAGGATATGGGGAGGGGGAAGGGTAAGCTGTGACAAAGTGAGAGAGTGGCATGGACATATATACACTACCAAACGTAAAATAGATAGCTAGTGGGAAGCAGCCACATAGCACAGGGAGATCAGCTCGGTGCTTTGTGACCACCTAGAGGGGTGGGATAGGGAGGGTGGGAGGGAGGGAGACGCAAGAGGGAAGAGATATGGGAACATATGTATATGTATAACTGATTCACTTTGTTATAAAGCAGAAACTAACACACCATTGTAAAGCAATTATACTCCAATGAAGATGTAAAAAAAAAAAAACTATGTAAAATGTTTGCACTGCTGTCGAACTGAGAAAACTTTAACTTTGAACAATGTGCTTTAGAAGGGAGAAAGCTAAAACATTTTGTTGGAGCAACTAAGAGGTGGTCATTTCCTTTGATCAAATAAATTGATTCTAATGGAAATGTCCAGATGATTTGGTGCAAGGATTGGCTTTTAGGCTTTATGAGCCTAGTTAAATGCTTCAGTTCTTTGGTTACTGCTCCAAACTTTGCAAAGCCCCCTAAGAAGAGGTGGTAGAAGTGAAAATTCTGGGCCTCCAAGAAAAATTTTGCACAGCCAGTCCCCCAATTAGCCCACTGCCCTTTGAAACACCTTCTTTGTATCCCTGAGGGCTCCCAACACCTGCAACTTATACAGAGCTCTCTTTCCACGTGCCCCATGTCAATCTGTCACAAGTCTGACAGCAGTGGGCACCTTCCTATGGGGCCTAACATTCCTTGGGGATTATCATACTCCTCTGGATGGTTAGCCCATCAGTGTTTGACCTTTTGCCCCAGTACCACTGTGACCCTCTCTAGTTGCTCAGAAGTGTACTGCACTTTATACATATCCTATTTTTAAAGCACTTAAGATCCTGTTGAAATTCAAAATTCTGCAGATTCCAAAAGCTGTGCTTTCAATGGGGCAGATGGGAAGCCTTCCACAAGGAAGTCCGGGGCCACTAGAGAGCTGTCTTATGCCCTGGCTCCAGTCTTAAAGTGGAAACCTCCGAGTAGCCCAGTTTCTTGTCCGTTTCCCTCAGCAGTCTCTGTTTCAGAAGATTTTAACCTAAGACAGGACTGCACCCTCAAAGCCACAGAACAACTGACTTTCTGCTAACGGGAAGCCTGAAGTGATTGAAGCAGCCTTTCCCTGCCCTCATTCCTAGAGGCACACACCTCAACAGTCACTAGGCTGGACAGCCCCCACCTCCCCAGTGAACCACTCTCCCCCAAGTCCTTCCCTTCTATTCCAACCCCAAGCACATCAAACACTAATGGAGAGCTCCCTTTGGATGCCTGGACAGTACCTAGCTCATTTTCTCAGGAAACCCAGAAGTGTCTTAGTATACCTTTCACTGTGTCTGCCTCTGTCACCTTGGGGCTACTTTGCTTAAACAGAAATGCAGACCTAGACATAACTGTGCCTTTAAATCCCAAGTAGGGTGCTGCCTCATGCAAAAAACAAATTCAGAGAGGCTGTGAGGTGCCAGAGCTAATTTAAACCCTTGGTGCTTGGTTTTCCTGATGATGGTATAATGTGATATTGTACAATCATATGCTGGTTTTGCATTTTCTCTGTAAAACATCTATTTTTCCTCATACTATATCTTTGCCTTTTTGATAATGCTAGGTTTTTTTTTTTTTTTTTTTTTTTTTTTTTTGCGGTACGCGGGCCTCTCACTGTTGTGGCCTCTCCCGTTGCGGAGCACAGGCTCCGGACGCGCAGGCTCAGCGGCCATGGCTCACGGGCCCAGCTGCTCCGCGGCACGTGGGATCTTCCCGGACCGGGGCACGAACCCACGTCCCCTGCATCGGCAGGCGGACTCTCAACCGCTGCGCCACCAGGGAAGCCCCACACGTATTTTTTAACACCATCGGTTGTAACACATCTTAGCAGATTCCCCTTCAGGTTATACTAAGTGTTTTTTCAACTTCTTCAAAAATATTTGACCCAGAGTAGTTCCATGCAGACTGTTCATAGCTACTAATTCGTCAGTTATTTTAAACTCAGCAGTCACCCACCTCAGTCCTAGTGTGCTCAATACTGTTACTGCCAAATTCCTAGGATGACAAGTATGAAATTTTTGACATGTTTTGTTAGACAGTGCAAGTACTACCAGGAAAATCTGAGGCAGGTCTTGGAACTCAAATCTCTCCCAAAGTAAATAAAAATGCTAGTTGACTATCTGACTATACCTCTCATATCTGTTAAAGAAGTCCCATAGCTCTGCCACTTGGCACCCCAAAGACGAGCTCATTAGGAAGCTGCCAATGAAAAACGGCTATGAAATGACCAAGATTACTGTGACTAATCATTTCAGAGCTGAGTCCTAATTCACACATAAAGAACAGTAGTACCGGTATAGGATATGATGCTAAAACAGTGCTTGTGTCCATACAATGAAAGGTGATCTTTCATTTGGAGTTCAAGCTACCTTCAAGCCCCTTATTGCTCACCCCAATTTAACAAAAAGTTGCTACATAGCTTAACACCATCAGAGTCAAGTCTCTGTGACACTCAGTATGAAGTAGGCGCAGCAGCTAAACCAAAAACATTCAAGGAATTCAGACAAACCATTGTCAAAATACCTGGTAATAGCTGTCCACTGGTAGAAAAGCATGAGGGGTATGTGGGCCTTTGTATAGTGGTTTCTGCAATTTCTCTTTGTGATATTTTACTATCGATAAGTCTAGCTGGCAAAGATAAATGTTTTATTCATGAATGAGCACATTGCATCACCACTTCCAGTTCATCAGAAAGTTTCTCTACCTCTTATGATCAGAGACAAGAAGGCTGGCAATAGTTCTATGGACTTGGTAGGAAAAGTCCAGTCCAATGCGGTCTGCCCTTCATAAAACTCATATATGAAGAGAGTCCCAGAAAAACAATGTAAAAACAGCAATTCAGCATTGACTCCTTAAATAAACAGCAAGAGCCTAGCAATATTAATACCATCTGTTGACCCATGAAGTTATAGGACATACACTACAGATCCTAGCCATTCAATCATTCACCAGGCAAGTACTGAGTACCCACCTATATATATACCCAGGGTTGTGTTAGAGAGGCCTCACTCACAGATGCCTAAGTCTCAAGACTTGCTCTAGTTCATGGTCTAGAGGCAGACAGTTGGACAATGATGACACAAGTGTCAAGTGCTAAAACAGGGATGAACACAAAGTGCTATGGGAGTATGGGAGAGAGAATGATTAACTGGGACAGGGGAAGGAAGGAAGTGGGTTGGTGCCTGGGAAGGTACTCAAGGGGAGGCATTTCACCTGGACCTTGAAGGATCACTGGGAGTTTACCTAGCAATGAAGGATGGCAGGGAAAGGGTAAGGAGGTCTCTGCATGGAGAGGAAACAGCCTGCATAGTAGAAGAGATGTGTGTGCATTGTGTACCTGTCCAGGGAATGAAATGGCTCCAGCATGGGCAGCGTGGCAGATGGGCCTGGAAAGCAGATTGAGGCCATAATTATTACTACGAATAATTCTTACTACTAAAATTATTACTAA